AAAGTTGTATCGAAATTATAAGATTCAATATCTAGAAAATTAAATTATCAGAAATTTCTTTACTGCAATTATTTATTTTATAACAATTTCACTATCAATATAAGTATACCTTTTTATCCAAAACTAGTTTCTTATCGACTTATAAGATTTTGCAACATACTTTACATTCTTTATTTTTAATTATAAAATTTAATATCTAACATTAAATTTTATATATTAATAATTAAATTATTATGAAAATTTCTTTACTGTAATCATTAATTTCATTATCAATGTACATTTTTTCATCCAAAATTAGTTTCTGGAACCAATTGTCTTTTGTAAAATTCTTTATATTTTGTAACATCCTTTACATTCCTTCATCTCTATCTACTCATTTTACACGTAAAAAAGAAGAACGTTTCGTAAGTACGCCAAGTTAACGTAATAACGTATTAAAGAGATAGAAAAAGAATCGCTCCAACCAACGCTCATCGTAGCTGAAAACGCGGATTAAAATCGCGGGGCCTTGGAGAGTTTAAATACCAATCGTCAAGGTGCAAACGCGACGCACAGAAAGGGATGTTCTCACAGTTTTCATTTATTTGGAGTTAATCATGGAGCTCAACGGCGCGGGAATAAAATCGTGCGCGCGCTTTTCGACCCTCCGGTCTTTAAATCGAGCGTCATCGCAATTGCTGAAAGAGCTCGCGCCAAAGTAGTTCGATATAAAGAGAGAATATCGCGAAATCCCGCGTGTTCCATTTCGCAGAGAATCCATATGCGCGCGATGCGTACTCCCAGAAACGCTTTAGCTTCATTTGGTGGTAATAAACGATAATTCGCGCAAATCGCGGAGAGTTTTTGATATTAATTCGGTCCCCTCCCCGCCTCTCATCGAACGATAATCGTGTTGTGCCCGTGCGGAATCAATAGGCACCGGGGAAAATTGGAAAATCTCCTCAACCGAGGTTTCCAACACGAGATTTACAAGGTTCGAGCGGCTGTTAACAGATTTAATCCACGCTTTCATTGGTATGAAAATTATGTTTCACGGATACCTGTATATCCCGCTCAAAGATAGAAATGCGATACATAAAACGCTCATACATCAAAACGGGTGATGCGATAAACACGATGTAAATGGAGAATTCAATATTCCCATATCCGTTTTCTCCCGTTTTTGGTAAAATAACGCCGCGTAATGCGGCACGAAAAACGCCTAATTAATCACATTCGCGATGAAATTGTCGCGGTGCGCGACGCGATATCTGCCGTTCAAATTCGATTCCGCGTTTCCGCTGCATTTCGAAATGCACCGGTTCGGCCTGACCGGGACGGAATTCATTTCGCCATCATGGACACGTCCTAATTATATCTCCGGTTTCGTAATTTCCCGTTTTCCCTTAAATGAGATATTAATCGCCGGAATACAGATCCGCAAAAGCTGCATCTCCGTTTACCCGAAGGATACTGAATAATACTTCGTTTAAAAAGCTCCTGGGACACATCTGCGTGTACATGCACGTGTATATATACGCGGCATGTACAAAACTATGTCTGGTTCTCGGCTAACAATTTAAACTGTGACGTGTCAGTATTATATTAGTGGAAACGTCTTCCGTTTCCGAGCAACTTCCAGCAATTCCTGCGAGTACTCGATTCTGACTCAACAAAAAAGACAGAGAAAGAGAAATAATATAAGAAATACTACTGTGTGGCTATGAAAATTAGAAATAAATTCAGCATCCGAGTATCAACAATTTTGATACTTTATACATAAAAAATTGATGTTAATAAGATTTTTTATTTAATATTTTATTTAATATTTAATATTTAATATTTAACTGTTATAATTTTTATACGGCAATTGTTAAATTATTATATTGCTCATTAGAAAGAAAGAGTTTTGAAATCAAGGCACAAGATTTGTTGCAATACGTGCAAATCGGACCAAATCCGGCAACGAGTAATTATCTCGACTATGAGCCCGATTACGAGAGACCGTTTAATTACACGTCGCTCACTTCCCTCTCTCTCCACATTTATTAAGCCAAACTAAACCCGCGTGTATTGAAGATACTCTGACAGAAAGATTCCCTTTGGCCGTCTTAATAACAATATACTAACTTTAGAGATTAGATAATTACCTCTGTATACGTATTTACTGTATACGCCAAGCGCTTCTTCATTAAGAAAATCCACGAGCATCTTGCTCTTTAACAAGCTATGCAATATTCAACAATAGGCAAATATCATCTCACTGCATTTATATTTTTTGATAAGCAGTCTGATATAACGGAAGCTATATATATTTGAGGGAAACGTCGAGCTATTTGCAGAATGTCATAATACCGTTAAATTCATAATGTTAAATTATACTCAAAATATCAAAATAATTTAATAATTATTGACTTTGAATTATTTTTAATCATTCCTATAAGTCGCGACTTATACGACATGTAATTAATTTAAGTAAAGCAATAAAGTTAAGCAATTTAACTCAAGAAATGTATTAAACTGTACTGACTCAAATTTAGTTTATTATTAACTAAGTGCATACGATAATATGGATGCTGTTTACTTTAAAACTAACAATAGAAATGAATTAATTTACATTTTGACACATACGGAAGTTAATAATAACAAAATGTTAATTGACTTAAGGATTTCAGTTACCGTTGCTCCTTTGATATCTAATAGTTATACCTGCTTAAGCATAAATTGATTTTTATAGAATATTGATCCAGAAATTATATCGATTTCATATCTTATCCGTTTCAATCTACAACTTTTTCGCTCTGAAAAAAAACTACTAAATTTTAATAAATATTTGTTTAAATATTTATTAAGTTCTTTATTTGAATATAGCAAATATTTACTAAATGTAAACGTATATTTATTTGATACAAAAACTATTCATTTGATTTAATTATCATTTTTCTATTAATCAAATGTTTGTTTACTGTAAATAAATGTTTACTTAATACTATTCAAAGAAACCACAAAAATTTAAAATTCAGTAAATTTTTTTCAGTGTATGCAACATATAAATGCATTAGCGTTGCATATTCGTGATTCTCTCCTTTTTACGTATCTTCTGCACATAATAACATAATCTAATATATTCTCTAATATATTTAATAAAGACCTAGCTAATAAATATACCCTCGTTAAAAATTACCTACTTCCTTCCTCGTGAGATAATATAAAATACTTTCTATTTTCTTGGAACAGACCTGAGTGTGTTCTGCATGGCGAGACGGACATCCATCCCATGATTAAGTGGGGCCGACCTTGGCTCTTTGACGCCGGAAATTGCGTTCATGCCGTCGAAATGCATCGACGATCGATGTGTCGCAGCCGCAGCGAGCCGCGCGCCAGGAAAAACGTTTCCGGCGCAAGGTTTGCGGCGCATCGGCGCGTTTATCTTCCGGAAGTACCTCTAGTTGATCTTCAGCGGGTAAATCTTCACACGTAGATCTTCGCACGCGCGTATTTTCCCCGATCTCGATCCGCTGGCGGATCAACGTATTCCCGCTTTCTATCGACTCTATTCTATGTGCCATTCGGTTTCTTCTTGAGCAAAGTACAGTTCACGAGGTGTGGAAAAATAGATTTCAACCGCTCCGCAAGCGGCGAATACATAGAAAAATAGAAGCTATTCGATTCTCTCTTATCCTTCGCTTTTTCTTTTAAACGCAAAATGTTAAAGTGATGACTGCGGCGTCTCTTTCCTTCTCCCTTCGAGATTCTCGCTCGACACTCGC